GAAGCATCAAACTTCAGACCTTCCAGATCCAGAATGTAGATTACAGCTGCCTGAAACATACATTTAAGAAATTAGACGTTACGAGAAGATGTAATGAAGAAATCTCACCTGTTTCCCCGTTTCTGCCTCAAGTTGCTTCATAGCGGACAACATTTTTTCTTGCAAGCGGAATCTTTGAATAAGAAAATCCGAAAGCTGCACAGACTTCAGAATGCCTACTAAGTCAATTCGTCCGGCACATTCTATCACTAGCAGAGTGTTATCCTGACCCGTTTTTCCTGAGAAAAATATTCAATTTTGCGTCGCTGTTCATGACGATAAGACCAATAAAGGAGAGCCTCACCAACTAATCCTATTGGAAAGTATTGCTTGAGTATTTCATGTTCAGGAATCTTCTCCGCATTGTCCAAATCGTAAAATTTACGAAATTTGAGGTGGCGTCGAAGCTGAGCGGATGCTTCATCCATGTTGAACCCATAGCCCTGGAAATGGAACTGCTTGAAGCTTTTCATTTTCAGAAAAGTCAGCTCTCATGATGAGGCGATTATTGAAAAAAATTTTCATTATTGAATAGATAAGTTTTTACGGTTTTTGAGAATTAAAGGACTGTGAAAAAAATGTGGCTTTGATGCTATTATGTAAGTAAATAAATAAACTCTTCATAACAATACAAAAGGACAATATGTTTAAACAGGTATTTTGTATACTGAGATTATGGTTTTAAATACTTTTAAAATGCCTTAGATATGGTCCTTAGGGTTTTTCATACAAAAATATACTACAAATGAACACTGGGTGTTCTCTTATTTTCCAAGATACCAGGGGATTTCCTAATCCCAAGTTTCCAAGCATTTATCTTGGTTAAAGTCCAACCGCAGCAGTGCGTGGGATCAGGAATGTACATAATCCATGCATGCATACATGAATGGATGTTTTGCTGATCGGATTTCTTGTTTTTTTCTTGCTACGCTCTATTTACAGGAAAATTTTGGATTAGGGCAATGCAAAAGCGATTAAAAATGTCAATCGAAATTGTGCTGTTTGTTACTGAGTTCTTTGATCTTATGATTGAAACGTTACAACAATAGTCTATAGTGTAGTGAGATCGCATTCATCTTTATCGGATGAGAACAAGATTTGAATCTTGCAAATCGCCGTCTCTCAAAACATTAAGTGAATTAAGCATTTTATCTAGATAGATCTATGCTTTCACATACACAAAGCAGCAACGATCTGGTTCTGAATTGCCAAAGCAAAGATCTTACGATGGAAAACAAGGTGCAATAATAGGAAAAGTTTAATATAATTGTCAAAAGTTGATTTGTACTTCTGGAAGAATAGGTAATAAAATCAATTTTGTTAATATAGAAAAATAAACTTTTGAATAATTAGCGAAATATGTTCCCTACAATAGATAGATAAGTTTACCGACTTCAATTGGCGAAATTGAACTAATTACAAAACTTCAAAAATAGTATGTCAATACATAAACAAATAGTTCTAAACCAGTAACATTCTGTACGAACATTTTCTTGAGGATCTGAGCATCTACAAAACTACATTAATATTTTCGTTTAATGCCTGATCCAAGAATAACAGTTTTAAAGGAGAAGTGTTCACTACAATCTTATTGACCATTGACACCTTAAACCCCCCTATCAGCACCAAGTGAATTTTTCTTTCTGCTACTATTATTCCCTGCAATAGCTACACCTTACTACTGTTAGTCCAATAAATGAGTTGTTTTCTGACGTTAGTAAACCAACTGATTCTTTCAATACCAGTTTCTTAAAAAAAAAGGTTTTTTTTCACCTGTGCCCATCGCAATAAATTGTAGTCGGTTCCATACTTGGGCGTCAGCAAATCGCCGTT